TCCGAACGGAGCGCTGGCTGGATGGGGCATCACCACCGAACTCAGCGTCTGCTTGTGGAACTACAACACACACACACACACACCAGTCAAACTCAGTGATGGCACTCTGCTAAATACACCACTGATCAGCGTGTGTGTGTGTCTCTGATGAAATGCGTCTCTCTCTCGCTCTCTGATGAGTGTGTGTGTACCTCTCGTATGAGCTGGTGCAGGTTGTGTTCTAACACATACAGGTGATCGTCTGGTTTGCTCTTGTCTGGTGAAGATCTCTGACTCTTCTTTTCTCCAGTGGAGTGACAGAGAGAGATGGACAGCTGCAGACCTGAACACACACGCACGCACGCACGCACGCACGCACGCACGCGCGCACACACACACACACACACACACACACACACACACACACACACACACACACACACACGCACACACACACGCACACACACACGCACACACACACACACACACACACACACACACACACACACACACACACAGGATTATGTAACTGTAATCTTGGCCTATGATAAACTTTTCAATAAAATTTAGTAAGAATTAAAGTCTAACACAATTAAACATGGACGGCTCGTTATATTTAGTCGAGTTGAGCTGACGCTGATTAGATGTGCATGCACAGATGAAGAAATACAGTGTGAAGTGCTTCCCATATCAGCTGGTGCATTCGCCACTGCTACCTAATGGCACCTTACAGCACATGCAGTTGTTGTTGAGTGTGTTAGCACGGTGATGAGCAGGTGTGTGTACCAGGGAAGGGCTGCGAGATGATCTGGTTCTTGACGACGATGTGTGGGATCTGGGATTTAATCTGAACGGCTTCACGAGAGAGCTGAGCGAAGATCTCCTTACACAGAAGCACATTCTGAGCCGCTTCCAGACGCGAGTGCCACATCTGAGACGCTGAGGGAGAGAACACACACACACACACACACACACACACACACACACATACACACATATCTTAAAATTAAGGCAGTTTATTCTGAGAAAACAACCATTCTGGATCTACTGTATCCTGATTATTACACAGCTACTGGCCACAACACCAAGTTGACAGAAGTGAAACAGCTGATGGAGTATACACTAACCTGCGCATTATTCAGACACTAGATGCAGCCTGACGCAGTAATAAAATACAGTATAGTAATTTATAAAACCTTTTACAGCACAGAATAAAACTAATGAACCTCTGAATGCATGTTCATGTTGAAATAAACAGAACAAAATATAATAAAATCATGATGGGTTTACTTTGTAATTTCAGTGAATGGTTCCATTATTATTATCATTATTACTCTAAATGTCTTGTATGCAACTGTAAGTAAATGTGAGCTTTAAATGTCAGCTAGGTTCCTGAGGAAATGTTCCTCTTTAACTTTTTATATCTGATAATTATACAAGTTAATAACCTTCAATTCTTTTGAGCGGTGGGGGAAACTGCTATTTAAATCTGGAATTTTTGTGGAAAAACATTAAAAATAAATAAACAAGAAAAAGGCCATTTCATCCAGCCTTATAATATACAGTTTTAAAAGCTTCAGCAGTTAATCTCAACATGAGTGAGTGATCGCTGGGGTACCACAGGGCTCTGTTCTTGGGCCACTTCTTTTCTCCATCTACACATCTCTAGGATCAGTCATCCAGAGACATGGATTCTCCTACCACTGCTATGCTGATGATACCCAGCTATACCTCTCTTTTCATCCTGATGATCCCTCGGTTCCAGCTCGCATCTCAGCCTGCCTGTTGGATATTTCACACTGGATGAAAGATCATCATCTTCAGCTGAACCTCGCAAAAACGGAAATGCTTGTAGTTTCTGCCAACCCGACTCTACATCATAACTTTTCAATCCAGATGGACGGGGCAACCATTACTGCATCCAAAATGGTGAAAAGCCTTGGAGTAACGATTGATGACCAACTAAACTTCTCTGAGCACATCTCTAGAACTGCTCGATCGTGCAGATTCACACTCTATAACATCAGAAAGCTCCGACCCTTCTTATCTGAACATGCAGCTCAACTCCTTGTTCAAGCTCTTGTTCTCTCCAAACTGGATTACTGCAACTCTCTACTAGTCGGGCCTCCAGCTAACTCTATCAAGCCTCTTCAGCTGATCCAGAACGCAGCAGCACGAGTGGTCTTTAATGAAGCTAAACGAGCACATGTCACTCCGCTGCTCATCCGTTTGCACTGGCTGCCAGTTGCTGCTCGCATCAAATTCAAAGCTCTGATGTTTGCCTACAAATCGACTTCTGGCTTTGCTCCTTCTTATCTGCTCTCACTTCTGCAGATCTATGTGCCCTCCAGAAACTTGCGTTCTGTGAATGAACGTCGCCTCGTGGTTCCATCCCAAAGAGGGAAGAAATCACTTTCCCAAACTCTCGCATTCAATCTGCCCAGTTGGTGGAATGAACTCCCTAACTGCATCAGAACGGCAGAGTCACTCGCTGTCTTCAAGAAACCACTAAACACTCAACTATTTAGTCTCCACTTCCCTTCCTAATCTGCAATTGCTTCTCTGACCCACTAACTACATTAAAAATTAAAATTAAAATAAACTTTGCATACCTGAATTATTCACTGTTGCTCTTATAGTTGTGTAAGTTGCTTCCTTGTCCTCAGTTGTAAGTTGCTTTGGATAAAATCATCTGCTAAATGACAATGTAAATCTTGTGTGTGTGAGAGCTGTATCTTACCGGGTTTAGCTTTCGCTTGTCTTCTGAAGAGGTTGACCGTGCCGAGGTCTCCGATGTCTGGAGACTGCTTCTGGATGGACACCTGCAGAAATACAGACTCTTCACTACTGCAGAACTGTACACAACGCAGACTGTGGAACAGGGATGAAGAGTAGAGAGTGANAGCCATCATATTCAGGCGTTGTCCACACCAACATCTCTGTGCTGTTTGTCCACATTGAAGAATCTAATTGAGGATCCTAGAATCCTTTCAGTAAACCTATGTGTGTGTGTTGCTTCA